AAAAACGATACTTTCACTTTTTATTTTCTCTTTTTGTTTGAATTGTTATTAAAATATTGTTTTATAATATATTGTATTTTATCAATACATTTTTGAAATATGGGTAAAACTTTAGGGAGAGTATCCTCTCTCTCTCTCTCTGTACGTGTGCATGTATGGTATGTATTGATATATTTAGATGACCTTTTGCGTGTGACTGTGTGTGTATTATGTATACAGTACGTATAGTATCAGAAATTGTCCACTTAATAATTAAAAGAACACTCCTATTTCGGCCATCTTTATCTTTGGGTCTTTCTCTTCCTTGTGACAAATAAATAATCTTTCAAGTGACTATATGTGTATATATATATATATATATATCAAATATATATATATATATATATATATATATATATATATATATATATATATATCCGTTGTTGACCTCAAAAGCCAATTTTCTTCATATTCGTTTTAGTCCTTATCTTATTTTATGACTTTTATTCTAGACTTTTAGTAACTATGTTATACGAAAATACAATTATTATTGATCAATTTTTTCTTTCTTTCTTTCTTTTTTTTTTTCTTTTTTTATCTCTTTTTTTTTTTTTTTTTTAATTCCCGTTTAACTTAATTTTTTTTCACGTTTACGAAAGAAAATACAATATTATTTAAAATTAATACCATTAGTAGTATTAATACTATTATAATATATATTATTTAATATATTAATATTATATAAATATTAATATTAATAATATTCCCTATCTCTCTTTCTCTCTATATAAATTTTCGTAACTTCGATATATTTAATAATAATAATAATAATAACAACAACAATAATAATGATAATAATTTAATCCTTGAAATAAATAATTACAATTTTTAATATTTCTTTTTTTTCCTGTTTTTTCTTTCTCTTTGAATAATAATAATAATAATAATAATAATAGTAATAATAATAATTACACTTTTAAATAATATGTATAACAAAAAAAAAAAAAATGTACTAACAATTTCGATTGGAATTGGAAGTCAAGTTTTTGATCGAATTAAAATACTTCAATAATTTCTACAATAAAAATCAATGTTATTAAATAATCCAATTAACAATATTAATTGTTCTTATTTTTCTTTTTATCAATATAAAAAGTTTTTTCTAACTTAGTTCTCGGATTTGAGGGTACAAAGTTTTCATTTCCTCTCTTTTCGCATTGATTCAAGAGGTCCCGTTTTATGTAAGTTGTGTTGTGCATGGCCCCGCGTCTACGTTTGTATGCAACGTTACATAGAGAGGTTTATCGATCCTAACGCGTCTCCCTTATTTATCCCCCTTCTCTACTCTCTTTCTCTCTCTCTCTTTCTCTCTCTCTCTTTCTCTCTCTTTCTCTCTCTTTCTCTCTCTCTCGTTCGCTCTCGTTCTCGTTCTCGTTCTCTCGTCCTGCTTTGTAAACTATATATATATATATATATATATATATATATATATATATATATATATATATATGCACTAGAGTGTACAGCTGTGTTTGAGTTTTCCTATTTTCATGTCCACGTTTCGCTTTCTTCTCAGTATCGATCAACCAAAGCCCAGAGCAGCAAGAAGCACCACGACGTCGTCGTCGTCGACCAAAAGGAAGAACTCTCGTGGCTCTCGCGTCGTTATATCGTTATCATAAAATTCTCTCCTCTCTTCTCCCACCTTCTCCACCTTTACCTCTTTTACCCTCTTATCTTAAGCCGCCCCTACCCTCTCCACCCTCCACACACCACCCCTCATCCGTTAGAGTTCTGTAGGGATCCAATTGTAAAAGTTATTTGACGCAAGGGTATCGCATTTTTTTTTTTTTTTTTTTTTTTTTTTTTCATAAAACGATCGAGAATCTCACGTAGAGATCCATCCTGTATATGACATTATTTATTATATATCCCGTCGAGGATTATGATTTAGTTATTGGGGAAAGAAAAAAAAAAAAGGAGAAGAAAAAGAAAAAGAAAAAAGAAAATGTGATTGCAAATATTCATGGCGTTGTTCTTTCTTTCTTTTTTTCTTTTCTTTTTTTCGTACTTTATTAAAAACCTCCATTTATATGTGTCACATTATATATATATATATATATATATTTTTTTTTTTCTATAATGTTTTCGCGTTATTATTTTCTTCGAAAAAATTTAATATCCTTTATTTATTTATTTAATTATTTATTCATTTATTCATTTAATAAAATAAATATAAATAATATGTAATTTCATTGTACGTAATGTTTTTTTACATCTTACTGCAGAATATATATATATATATATAATATATATATATATATTATTAGTAATATTTAGAAGAGGACATTAATAATCGTCCAGTGATATATCGTTGAAATATTTAGGACTTTTCGTAATCCCTGTTTTCTCCTAGGGATATTATGATCATAGGACGATGTTCGTCGTTTCTTCTGTAACTCGTTAGAAAAAGAAAGAATAGTCACACAGTAGCAGGAACGTATATCGAAGAGTATTAGTGGTGGGGGTTGCAGTAGAGGTGGGAGGGGGTCAGTGACCGTTACGTCATCAAGCAGCCATAGACTAGAGAACCATCCGATGACCGACCGCTAATTTTGATATAGTGTGTTGAATTCCGATATTACACGCGCATATGTGGGCGTTTGTGATATGAGTATGTGTGTGTGTGTATATATATATATATACATATATTTATACAAAATGTGTGTATATTTATAAAACATTTACATACGCTTATGTATATATATATATATATTTTTTTATGTATGTTATAATTTTTTATATTAATCTATATACGTGAAGATCCTTTTTTATTTGAGAAAAAAAAAATTACTTCAGTTTTTTCGATAATATAAAATTATGTTGAAATTTATAAACATAGAATTACGAATTATTTCGAATAATTCTTGGCAAGTTTGATGTATCTTTTTTTTTCTTTTTTAAGAAATGTTATTTCAATAGAAACTCGCTATTCATAATATTCTCCTCTCTCTCTCTCTCTCTCTCTCTCTCTTGCTTTTTCTGTTTCGTCACTTTTTCATAAGTCGACTCCTCAAGGTCAAAGCATGACTCACTTCCAGTAGTCCCGCGTTGATGGGTCAGTAATACGAAGAATGTTATGCGTTGCATCTGTCGCGTCCGAATTTATCTCATATGCCGGACGTCGCTTTTAAAACTTCTTTATAGTTATATATGTTTGTTTCTTTCTCTTATTCTATTCTATTCTTCTCTCTCTCTCTCTCTTTCTTTCTTTCTCTATTCCTTTCTCTCTCTAACACAATCGAACAAATATCTATAGTAATCTCTCTATGAATAAATATTACTAGTATATGAGTCATCAAGAATATATATATATATATATATATATAATTTTAGAGAGAAAAAGAGAGAAGGAGATAATTTATCTATATGTACTGTATATAATGTAAATGCCACAGGGTTTATATAAACTCGTTTAAATATATTCTCATTAAATGAATATCTGTCTCTCTCGAGAACGCAGCTGGTTAGAGAACAGAGAAGCGCATTCACCCTGTCGTTGTCGACAAGAATATGATGAGTGTGTAGTAGTAAAATACTTTCTCTGTGTATGTGCGTCCCTCTCTTATAAGTACGCATGCGCAGTAAGAAGATTGTATAGAGCGGCTGCGTGTACTTCGTTTCTTACGGAGCATGCGCAGAACTATATCCTCCGCCTGGCCACGTGCTGTTATACGGCGTCCATCATCATTCCCGATACCACGAGTGAGAACCAATAGAAACGCTCTATCATGAATCGTCATTCCGTCGGAAATTCTGATTGGTTCTTTACTTCTTCTATTTGACGACGACTACGACGACGATTTATAACTGAATCATTTCTTCATATACATATATATATATATATATATATATATATATATATATATTGTATTTCTCTCATCATAATTCTTCTCTAGCCTATGTTTTTTATGTATAAGTGGAATTGATATATATAATATATATATGTATGTAATTAGTATATATATATTTAAAAAATTGTGATTTAGAATAATAATTATAGACTCAATTTCTGCTTAATTATTAAAAATGTTTATATATATATACATATACATACATATATATCTGTATACATATATATATATCTTGTTTTGTCTCGTATCTTTGGCTTATTTTTTTTCTGATGATGATCGTAGTCATCAATTGTTGTTCAGAATTGAGGGTTTCCGATGTATAGAGTAAAAAACGAAGCTCAGTGACGTGTTAATTATTACGATAGAAGAAAAAAACAAGTACGTCTCTTTTATGGTTAGAAAAGTCGTCCTTTGGATTGTTGATTGGTCGATTTGTGTATATGTATATATATATATATATATATAAATATATATACGTGTATATCAATGAGGAAATTCGAATATACGTGGAAGGTGATGTCCTTCGTTAATCAGGTGATTTGATTGATTTCTTTTGATTTCTTTCGAGTAACTGTAATTCGAAACAATTATTTGTAAATTTTTGCATTGCGCTAGGAAGACTAGATAAATTTTTTTGTCGTTCGCAAGATGTGTCTACTATCTCTTAGCAATTTGATTGGTTCTATGTATGTTGGCAATTGGATTTCATAGTTTTTGATTTGTACAACAAGTCCAGAGTTCTACAGAGTTGATTCAATGCGGTGGCATTGCTCGCTATCGTGCTTTGTGTTAATGTTGTGTAACATAAGGAAAGCTTGTTAGGATTCATATATTTGATTATTAGGTTTTCTTAAAATGCTCTTTGTAAGATTTAATTCTATTTCATATCTCTTTTAATTGAATAATATTCCTTAGAATAATTCTTTTTCTTTATACTGTTAAAACAAAGTTAAAGCAACATTTCAACGATCTCAGACTAAATTGACTAAACCCATTTCGAAATATTAATCATTACTTAATAAGACATAAAAGATGATAAAAGAAAAGAATAAACAAATAATAAAAGGAAAAAAAAAGAGAATTCTAACGAAGAACCTTCACTCGTAGGCCGACGCAGAATTACGTGAACATCAAGAGCAGCAGTAGTCCGGTATCACCGAGGACGGCCGGTGCAGGAACAACGTATGTCCAAGGCGGTGCAGCAGCAGCATCGTCGGCGGCTGCTGCGACGGGAGGAAGCGGTGCCACGAACTCAGTTGCTCCGTCAGGTCCATCGAATAGCAGCAATAGCAGCGGTGCCGGGGTTGGCGTTGGTGTCGGCGTCGGCGTTGGCGGCGTCGGCGTTGGGAACGTCGGCGTCGGTGTCGTTAACGTTGGCGGCGGTGGTGGTGTCGGTGGCGGTGGTGGCAGCACCGTCAGCGCAGGAGTGGGAGGAGTGAGCGTGGTAGCGCCGCCTGTGGTTGGAAGTGGAAACAACGGAAATGGCGGCAACTGTACGGGTGGTGTCGGAGGCGGAGGAGGAGGAGGAGGAGGCGCTGGAGTTGTTGTTGGTGGTGGTGGTGTTGTTAACAGCAACAACAACGGTGGAAATGTCAGTGGTGGCGGGAATGGTGGATCAGGGTCCAGCGGAAATCCAAATGGTAGTGGCGGCGGCGGCGGCGGTGGCGGTGGTGGTGGCGGTGTTGTTGGTGGCGGAGCTGGTGCCGGTGGCGGCGGCGGCGGTGGTGCTGGCGGTGGCGGTGCACCAACGGGTTACGTCGCTGTACCAATGCCAGGTGGTTTACGATACATCCATCCTTATCCGCAAACATCATCTACGGTATCCTCTGGCTCGGGATCATCGGTTTCAGCTATTTCAGCAGCCATAGCTGCAGTGGCTGCTAACTCGACCTCAGCAGTGACCGCCGCAGCTGCCGTTGCTGCCGTGGTTGCTGCCGCTGCTGGATCTGTACCACCCACCTCTGTACCCGCCACTGCATCTCCCGCTAGCATTAGCCAAACACCACCACCGCCTCCTACGGGAACCGGATACGTTTCCAGGGACGCCTATCGCGGCGCCACTATAAACGTAGGTATCTTCGGCGTCGATCTCATACTTCGGCGAATTTTCCTTATTTCTTTCTCTTAAAAAAAAAGAAAAAAAAATTATATATATATACATATATATATATATATATATATATATATATATATAGACACAAATACATTCGTGTTTTATTCTTTCTTATCTTATCGCGATGGAAAGGTTAAAGAAAGGCGGGCTTTTTCACAAGTTCGCGCGCTAATTTTCAAATTACTTTTATTATCATGCGTTAGAATGAGTCTCAGTTGTTTTAAGAAACTTTTTTTTTTTTTATTCCAACAACGTATAAGATCAATCTTACACGAATGATGTGACACGACACATAGGCACAAACAAATAAATATATCAACATAATAAAAGCATATGGGAAGATAACCACTGTCTCTACATATACACGTAATGATTTCATTTATTTTCAATCTTTCGTTCATTAAAAATCTTTAGAGAACATTGAACCTTATTTACAGACAGACCAGTTTTTCCTTTTTTCATTTTTATTCGATTGAGATCGAAGTACGTGCTATCAAGTAGTCGCAGTTATTATTTGATCACATCATTAATCTCCATTGGTTATATATAGATAATGTCATAAAAACAAAAACAAAAAAAAAAAGAAAAAAAAAAAAAAAATATCTCTCTTTCTCTCTCTCTCTCTTTATTTTTCTCTCTTTTTCTCACTTCTGATCAGCGTCAGCCGATGGTGTGTGCGTTTATGGTTGGTCAAAGTAATAACGACTGTAGATACGCATACACGCGTACACAACTATTAAAGTATAGTTAGAAATTCTTGGATGTACGCGTAAACGTACTCAAACACACCACAGTTATGGTCCTGTCCTTGACTTTCACCGAGCGTGGGTCTCCTTCTCTCTATCTCACTATCTATTCTTTTTCTCCTTCTCCTTCTCATTGACAATTCAGTCAGTTCTTCCATGCAACTGTTTGATATATCCTCCAAATGAAAGAAAGAAAGAACGCCTGGAAACAATCTTCGTATAGAGAAAATTGTCCTGTTAGAAAATTTTTGTGATGTACTGATTGTTATTGTTATTGTTGTTGTTGTTGTTGTTGTTGTTGTTGTTGTTGTTGTTATTGTTGTTTTTTTTGCTATTATTGTCGTCACGATAATATTTGGTCTTAACGCAGTAACCATTGTATAAACATCGTTAATTGGATTTTTCACGTTTAATGATCGGTATGAATCATCGAAGAACTTATTGATATACTATCTATATTACATATATATATATATATATATATATATATATACATATAGGTGGGGGAATTCCATGAAAAAATTTTTATGATGTTATTTGTTTATACAAAAGGAAAAAAAACAAAACAAAAAAGAAAGGAAAAAAGTCAATGGCATATGAAACATTGTTAATTAAATATTTCAAGTTTACTGATCGTTATGACTCATCGAAGAAGTTATTGATAAATATTAAATATACTGCTAAAGTTTTAACATGGTAACAAATAGGTTGTGCTTGAAAGTATTTTGAAAAATCTTGATGGAACATGAGGTGTGTAGGCGAGTGAAAGTTGCATTAGGTCTAGTCGTACAGTGTGTATCAATATACTTCTGTGATACGTATATATATATATATATATATATATATATATATATATATATATATATCTACTTTTATATACAGAATAGAGGAATTTAATAGTTTTCATCATTTCTTAGCATCATGTTATGATCATTAGTATTGTCCATATTGCTATATTGCAAAATGCTATATATATATTGATTTTTATAATTAAGTAAATAACATAAATTATATTAATAATTTATAAATGTATCCCAAACGTAATGCTATATATATATATATATATATATATATATATATATATATATATTATATATCACTTTACTATTATGCTGGTAAAATTCATATACAAAAATAATTGAAATCGTAGATAACGACTTTGTTAGGTATGACCTCTGTTTAGAATCATAGAAATAAATAGTGATACGCAGAAAGAATAGACAAGGTTATTATAATCGTCGATTTTCTTAACTTAGGGACGGACATGCGGCAAACATCATTCGTGTAGGTATAATCGGCAATATGTGTCCTCTTGAACGGGGTCATCGATTTTCTTGAAATAGTCATGCAGACTGAAAGGATATCTGGAAAGAGAGAGAGAAAGAAAAAGAAAAAAAGAGTAAGAGATAAAGATACACAATAGATAAAAAAGGAGAATATACCGCCAATCTATAAAAATAGAAAAAGTAATATGATGATTAATTTAAAATAGATATATATATATATATATATATATATATATATACATATATTTGTGAGAGAAGATCGATCGATCTATAAGAATACAAATAACACTTACTAATAAAATAATTTAAACTAATAGTCATTTCGAAAAACAACAAGAACAAAACGATCTTCATTTAAATTTTAATTTAGGTCGAAAGAAATTTATTCTTAAATTCTTACAGCAATAGAAAAAGAATCTTGCATGAAACAAAAAGAAACTAAAGAAATATTTATTGTGTACACATATATATATATTGTATATACATATATATATATATATACATGTATGTGTGTGTGTATATATATATATATATATTTATAAAAAAATATATTTATTTATATAAAAAAAGAAAGAAGTACAAAAGTAATATGGATTTGTATTTATACATGAAATATATATATGTATGTATATATATATATTTTTTTTTTTTTCCAGGTAAACGAGAGGATTGCTATAAGCGTGAGCAGTAGTCCATTATCACAAGTTGGAATCAATGTTGGTGTAGTTGCTGCCGAATATGGTGCCGCGGGTGGTAGTATAAATAGCGGTATGGGAAGTGGTAGAGGAGAAAGACCGAGGATGTCCCTGTTGTCATCGGCATCGGTTGCACCCGCACCATCGCCAACTGCATCGGATTATCAACACATGCCAGGTGCGAGGAATCCAAGAGTAGGCCTTATACCTGTCCAATCGGATCAGTATTGTAGCCGTACTGCCGTTGAGATGGCAACGTTACAAGAGGCGCCGCCATTTAAAAAGATACGCCTTGGCCCACCAACACAGGTTCAAATACAATCGCAATCTCAGTCACGATGTCAGAGTCTTCCACCGGCTGATGCTTGCATCAAACAGGAACACATAGTACCCTTGCAACAACCATTAAGGATAGACACTAGGGTGGGTGTTATGAATATATTTTTTAGCAATTTTTTTCCTTTTTTTTTTTTTTTTTTTTGGCAGGATGAAAAGAGGAATGGGGGACACACGAGTTTTATGTAAATCAGTTAATTAATCTGTCGATGGTTTATTATATGAGAATAATTGTTGTCAGGGGCAGCCTGCCACAGGTGCATATACACCACAAACAGAGGCAATCTCACCAACGCTTCCAGAGCCCAATACGCAAGAGGATGCACAGTTCCGTAGTACCAAGGATGATCTTTTACAGCAGATCGGTAAAGTCGATAGGGAGATTGCAAAGAGGGAATCACAGATAAGTAAGCTTCGGAAAAAGCTTAAGGAATTGGAGGAAACGGCTAATAAACCTTTGGAGGCCAGTGGTCTTAAGCGACAAATCGAAGAACAGTCGCAACAACCAAAGCATCAGTCATTGGCGCAAAAAATTTATGCCGAGAATAGAGTAAGAATAAATGATTAGATAATAATGTACAATTTGTCGTTTTCTTTGTAAAAAAAAAAAAAGAAAAAAGAAAAAATTAAATCGGGTCAAAAGTTCTTTTGAACGATTCGCGACTAGTGTTACAGAGATTTTTTTTCTTTCTTTTTTCTCTTATTTTTCGCGAATTGTAAAACATTAAGAGACTAAATTAAATGATTTGAAGAATCAAAGGAGATCGTTGAATAAAAGTAGTAATACATTTTTTAAATCGCCTAAGAACTTTTGCCTCAGTCTCTATATATATATATTTTTTCTTATTCATTAATATATACTTTCGAATATTATATATATATGTATATATTATTTGTAATATTTATAATTGGATATAAATATTTATAGACTTAATTATAATTGGATATAAATATTTATAGACATAATTATAATTGAACATAATACGCACACATACACATACACACAGATCATATATATATATATATATATATATGTATGTAGTATTATAAATACATTTTCAAATAGTTATATATTACATTGTTATATTTAATTACAGAGAAAAGCGGAAGAAGCGCATAGACTTTTAGAAAGATTGGGCCCTAAGGTGGAGTTGCCATTATATAATCAGCCATCAGATACCAGTGTATATCAAGAAAATCGTACGAGGCATCAAACTTGTATGAGGGCGAAATTAATAGCAAGATTAAGAAGGGAGCATGCTGAGAGAGCGTCCCTTCATAGGCAGCAGTCTCAATCTTATGCGATTCTCGTTCAGGAATGGCATCGTAAGGTTGAACGGTTAGAAGCAACCCAAAAGAGAAAATCGAAAGAAGCGAAGAACCGTGAATTTTTCGAAAAGGTATTCCCTGAATTGAGAAAGCAAAGAGAAGACAAGGAACGTTTTAACAGGGTTGGCGCACGTATTAAGAGCGAAGCCGATCTTGAAGAAATAATGGATGGTCTTCAAGAGCAAGAGGTATTATTATTATTATTATTATTATTATTATTATTATTACTATTATTATTATTATTATTATTATTATTATTATTATTATTATTATTATTATTATTATTAATATTTTGGACCTCCTATTTTATATTACTTAATAATAGAATGATCATTATATATAGAATCTGTTATAAAATTCAATAACACTTTAAAAATGATCCATTATATCGTTTAAGAAAGACTAACTACATATATACAATATTTATTTTTTAATCGCTTATAAGAGGTGATATATTTTTTTCTTCTTTTTTTTTTTTTTTTTTCTTTTCTTTTTCGAATTAAATATTTTTACGAATTAATATATAAAGTTGTATTATTTTGTTAAAATTTGTAGAGAGAGAAAAAAGAAAAAAAAGAAAGAAAAAAAAAAGAAAAAACAATTGTAAGCTTTTGGAAAGTTTTAATATTGGCGCCACTGTGTCGGTAACTTATCGACAAGCTTCGACAAATTGTGCCATCTGTTGGGACAATAATGTAAATTGTCTTATATTGAGCATGATAAATTTCTCATTGATTTTTTTGCTTTCTTTTTTTTTTTTTTTTTTTTCTTTTTTTTTCTTTTTAATTATAAATCTGATATCATTAATAACGTTAATTTTGAAATAATATTACAGATGGAAGACAAGAAGATGCGTTCGTACGCGGTCATACCACCTCTACTTTTGGATACTAAACAACGAAGGATCGCATTTCAAAATCGTAATGGTTTACTCCAATTAGAAGAATTGGAAGCTTTACATAGTGAAAGAAAATTGATAAACGTTTGGAGTTCTGTAGAGCATGAACTGTTCAAAGAAAAGTACTTGCAGCATCCGAAAAATTTCGGTGCGATAGCTCAATCCTTAGAGCACAAGTCCGTTCCAGATTGTGTACATCACTACTACCTCACTAAGAAAGCTGAAAATTATAAACGGTTGCTACGGAGATCTAGACAAAGGACACGCAGTTCCCGTAACAATCCTAATAATAAGGTACACATTTATTTATTCGATTTTTTTTTACATTTTATATATATATCGTTTATGCATTTTTATTTTTAGTTTTTTTGATTTTTAATTTTTTTTTTTTTTTTTTATAAGCGAGTAATAATACTAAAGTCTTTTTTATTATTAATCTTCAAAATAAAATCAATATCACAATCGCTTTTTTACTTTTTATCGCTTTTTTACTTTTTATCGCTTTTATTATTTTTATTTCTTATTATTTATTTTATTTATTATTTTTTATTGATTATCATTTACAAGCAAATCGATAATAATTTTCTACTTCCAAAATTTTCAAAATAATTTAAGATAAAATCACGCGATATTAATTATCTTTTTTCCTTTTTCTTTTTTTTTTCTGTTTTATTTACTCTATTATATTACAAATGAATAATAATAATAATTATTTTTTTTTTAATAATCAAGATATAAAATTAAGCAGACACGTGCAGACCACACAAAGATAGACGAAAAATATAAATTAATTCTTAAAATATTTCTATTATATATTACAGGTTAATAATAGTAATTCTACTATTGGACCTATCGACATATTGACAACGGGAGTTACCACAAGGCTGCAACGTGAGCAGCAACAAAAGACGCAGGAAAATCCTCAGAATAATAATACGACAGGTGCGTCGTCTACGACTACGACGACGACGACGACGACCACGACGACAACAACAACAACAACAACAACAACAACAATAACAACAACAGCAACAACGTCTACGACAACAATGACGACGACGTCATCTTCGACGTCTAATATATCGACTGGTACAACGACGTCGTCGTCGTCGACGAATACTACGTCGTCGTCATCGTTGTCATCGTCGTCGTCTTCGACGGCGGCAACGACAACAGCGGCGGCGGCGGCAGCAGCGGCAGCGGCAGCAGCAGCAGCAGCAGCAGCAGCAGCAGCGGTAGCAGCGTCGACAACGTCGACGACGACGACGACAGGTGCGGGTCAAAGTTCAGTGACCCTGAATACGAATATGTCTACCGATTCTATAACGGCAGTAACGACAACGTTAACCACTGCAGCGACGACAACGACATCAACAGCGACTACGTCAACGACGACATCGTTAAATTCAATCCTCATGTCGATTTTTTCATCCTCGTCATCGACGACATCGGCCAGTACAAAGGATACAAAAGATAACGGCAAAGAGAACAAAGAGAACAAAGGAGACAACAAGGATTTACATGTCCTTAAAATGGAGATAAAAGAAGAATCACAATCTAGTTCGGAAACACCATCGAATAAGGATGTCAAAGTCATGTATGTATCATTAATATTTCATACATTCTCATTATATTTTGTTAGATTATTCTTAACCCCCTGTAATTGAATTTTTATCGTATCTAAAGAAAAAAAAAAGGAGAGAAAGAAAAAAGGAAGGAAAAAAAAAGAATTATATCCAATTTTTTTTTTTATAATATTACTTATAGTATAGTATAATTATAATAATATATTACTTCTGGTATAGTATATAATTATATATATTTTTATTATCACTTATACTATAATATAACTTATATTAATAATCAAATCATTTTATATATAATATTAAGACTAATTCTAAAGTAATGTTAAAAACAACTTCAATTATCGAACTTCCAACAACAAAAATATATATACATATATATATATAGTATATATAAATATATATAATTTAAAATTTACATTTCCGTTACAGAGGGTTAATTATATATATATGTAAAATACCATCATAAGAGCGATCCAAAATATGATATTGAATTATTTGACATACACGATATTTGAGCAATCCTATCAGATATCGTTGACTTTTCTTTCTTTTTTCTTTCTTTCTTTTTTATTTAAACCATAAATCTCATAACAATGATTCTGTAAAATGTACAAGAAAAAAGTACCCCGGGCGAACTATTTTTCAATCCGCATTGCTCCAACCGATTCTGATTTCTATAAAAGCTGGATGGCCTGATTGAATGAGCCGTTTCCATTGGGTGAAAGATATTCAATGTGCAAACAAAGCTCGATATTCCCTAGAACTCATTCCTCCTCTCCTCTCCTCCTCCTCTTCTCTCCCCTCATTCCATACCCCTCAATATCTATCCCATTCCCCTCATGATGGGAATCACTCAGAATTTAATATAGACATGTATTTCTCTTTTTCTCTCTCTCTCTCTCTCTCTCTCATTTTCTCTCTCACTCATCCAAACGATGCTACTAAAAAATGCTTTCGCTTAACTTTATCAGCCTGTACGTTTAACTTTAAATAACATACACGCATAAAAGCTTGTTTTAATGCAACTCGATCTTCCAACTTAATGCATGTATATACTAATGAATATTGTATTGCAAAATGATGACGGAATTGAGGTGGTGGAGGGAGTAGGTGGTGGGGATGGTCTATAATAATGTTAATAATATTCAATCGAAGAAACGAATCTACATTATGGAAGTTAATGGTGATAGTAGTGATGGTGGTGGTGGTGGTAGTAGTGGTGGTAATGGCGATAGTGGGGATTTGAAGAGTATGAAGGGGATGATCGGATAGTAGAGGTGGGGAGATGATCAGGGATAGGAGTACAGAGGTAAAAAGGATGGTATAGGTGGGGAAGGGTGTAGTTTACATGGGTTTGATGAAACTGGTGAGATAGTAGTAGAGACAGGAGTACGATGATAGATTTAAGGGTGAGTGGAGGAGTGGTAGCTGGGGGTAACTAGAGGTGGGTAGAGAGAATGGTGTAGAAGGGTGGGAGGAAGAAGAGCACAGTTATTAAGCAGATTGTAATGCTAATCAATGGTTACTGGTTAGTGGATTATATTTACACTGTCAGTCATCGCCATAATTGAATTGATCGTATTAGAAATTTCATATCCAACAGAGAACGCGTTGAACATTGAAGGACAATCATTTGAAAAAGGTTTTCAGAATGATCATCGATTCGTTTTGTCTGTATTCAAATAAACAAGATATTTGAGATTCGATTGAGAAAATCCGATCAGTGTCATTCAGATAAATCATTAAACACAAATTTCTGACAAATATCTTTCCCCTCACCTAATGATAAAAAAAAAAAAAAAAAAATAAATACAATAGAATTATTCGGGCGTGGGGGCTGGGGAGAGATTATGGCGGAGATAAAAATTATTATCGTCATTATGTATTATTACTGTACTTGTCTGTGTCACGACGACGTGGGATTTTCATTTTTTTTTTTTTTGTTTTCTTTTCTTTTTCTTTTTCTACTTTTTTTTGTTTGTTTTTTTTTTTTTTTCTTTTTTTTAATAATAATAATTATTTCTTTTTTAATTTGTTCGCAGAATGGAAGGTAAAAACACGTTGTCGTCATCGTCATCGTCCTCATTGAACGTCAACACCGCTAATGTACCTGGCATGCAGACCGAATTCAAGGATACGGGTAAAAAGAAAACGAGTTGTAGTAGAGAGACCACCGGTGGTACAGGTGGTGGTGTCATTGGTGGTGGTAATAACGCGGCAGCTACTAGTAGGATTAAGGATAAGAAGAAAGAGAATCATGCCACCCCAATGGAGACTAGTGACGAAGAGGCACAGTCCATTGATACCATTGGTGAGTACTACACAACAATAGCATGCATTTCTATATGGACGTATGATTGGTTGTCTTTTTTTTTTTTTTTCTTTTTTTTTTTTTTCTTTTTTTTTTCTTCCCCCAATTTGTTACAAAAATTTTGTCATATCAATTAATGTCTATCAACGATCATTAGATATAAGATAACAAGGAGCAAAGAAGCGCATGTGTTTCATATGTACCTAGTTTCTAGCTGACATTTTTTTTTTCCTTTTTTTTTTCTTTTTTGCTTTTTTTCTTTTTTCTTTTTTTTCTTTTTTTGTTTTTTTTTTTTTTTTTTTTTTTTTTTTTTGCTTTTTTTCTTTTCAAATTAATGGTTAAAAATCGTAAAAACTAACAGAAGGACATTTAACGTGATCCTCGTACGTTTTCCATTCCCAATGAAATTTCTCTCTATTAAACATTTGTCATATATTCGATTATAATATTTGGTTTTAATTTTAGCCCAATGATCATTATTGACAAATATTTATTTATCGTTAATACATAATATCCATTGTAATGTATTCGTCATATTTATGCATTATAATAGCGATAATTATCTATGACAGTAGATGTTATGTGCTGTATGTGTGTGTGTGTGTGTGTGCGTGCGTGTGTTATTTTTTTTCTTTTTATTTATTCATTTTCTTTTTTTTTTTTTTTTTTTTTCTTTTTCTTTTTTTTCTTCTTCTATACCGTTGTTATCTTTTCAATGATTAAAATCAATGTCATCGTTATTAACAAATAACGTTAGAACCATTTGTATCAACGTTTAAGTAGCTTTAATAGAATTTCGTTAATTAATTGTTATATGAAACCGTATGGAAATAATATTATTATAATTTATAATATAGAAAATGAATTTAGTTATTAATCGAACAAACGAACACTAAGAGAATGTTATTTATGGCTAATACACACATATGTGTACATACAAGCGCGCGCGCACACACACACACACGCACATACGTACACGCTGTTACATATATTATTGGATAATTTTTAATACGACTTTTTTTTTCTTTTTTCTTTTTTCTTTTTTTTCTTTTTTTCTTTTTTTTTTTTTTTTCTTAATATAATATCTCATTAAGATTTTTTGAATTCGTAATATAAGATTTTTCGTCTTGCACAACGGGGTGCGTATTGCTCTTTTTGTTTCTGTTTTTGTTTTTTTTTTCTTTTTTGTTGTTGTATTTCTTTCCTTTTGGTTTGCTTTTTTTTACTCTCTTATTTTTTTTTTAATCTTTTTTTTTTGTTTCTTTTTTTTTATTTTTTTTCATTCACGGTGCGGCGTGGTACCATCTACAGGTTGGCTCGTTGATTCTTGATCATTAAACGTAACAACATCATCCCTGCTGTTAACTCGATTATTATCGTCGACATTAGCGTGACATAATTTTCTATGCTTGTGTACGAAATAATAACTCGGAAATTTACATCCGCAGATTTTACACGGATAATATTGAACGTTCAAATCAAGAAGTCTGACCTCCCTTTTGTTTCTCGAATTATTATCCTGTCGATTTCTATCGATCGTTGTAGTTGTCGTCGTGGCCGTCGTTATTGTATCGCCGTTAGATCTCGTTGGCAACAAATGTCTCTTAGCGTGTTTTCTATAACAATATTGGGACTTGAAGGTATGGCTGCAATAACCACAACTGTAGTTACCAACATTGTTACCAGAATCTGTCGTTTGTGTGGTTATCATAGAATCCGTAGAACAATTTCGTATTCTGGTAGTTCCCGAGCCACCATTTTCATCGTTCTCGGTAGTTGTTGCTCTGGTATTGTCATCGGTGCAATGCCTTTGTATACGTGACTGCGATACGATATAATTTTCATTTAAAACACGATGAAACTTAACGGGTCCGTCACAACAAGCAACATCGTAAACCACCGACAAAACATTGCCGGAAGATGATGATGAGGAGGGATCGTTAACGTTGTTAGAGTTGTTATTAGTTATACGAATCTTGCGTCTGTGGGATGATGGTCTGCCGCGATCAACATCGGTCGTCGTTATATTAGTCGAACACTTAGGATTATCGTCATGATTAATTCTCATAGGTGAGCTTACGATCGAATTAGTATTTTCATTGGATCGTCCACTTTGAGGCATCGAGATGTTATCAGTTGTTATTGTTGTTGTTGTAGTTGTTGTTGTTGTCGTCGTGGTCGTCGTCGTCGTTGCTGTTATTGTCATCGTTGTACGTGTAGAATTCATAAATTCACGTCGATCTATTGAATTATTTTTCTTTCCTTTACGTGACATGGGCGAGGGCGATCGTGATAACGACGAGGAACGTGACGCTGCCGATGGCGATGATGATCTCGATGCGAATGCATTAAATGCCGCGGCCGCAGCATTGACGTATGGAATAGACGAGGACGTTGGTGAAATGGTATCTGGTGTTGTAGATCTCGAATGGGATCTAGATTTAATAACGTTGATCGTTCTTTTGTTTAATCGCGATGGAGACGATCTCGGTGATCTTGAGATTTCACGATTGGTCGAGCTGTTGACAAAGAATAACAACAACAACAAAAATATATATATATAAAATTTAAGAAAAATAATTAGAGATTTGTATCGATTTATATAAACGTGAAACATAACTTTATAATATAACAGATTTCTAATGCTAACCTGTAATGCGTATTAACTTCTTGAGTATCTTGACTAGTTAATGTTGGAATGACCGTAACGTTTGGTGAAACGGAAGGTGGTATTAGTACAGTCGTTGGTTGCATTTGAGGTAAATGTGGTGTTAGACCGACGGATCCTGGTGCTGTCGCGGCTGATGGGTAAATTGAACTCGTTTGAGGCCAACAAAGTGGTGGTCCCAATACTAATCTGTTTGGTATTGGTCTCAGTATACTACCAGGACCTGAACTCGACGTCGATGTTGACGTCGAAGTTGGTGTTATTGGTATAGGCGTTGGCAATGGAGGTGGTCCTCTTAATCTGAGTAAAGCTGCTCTGCATTGTTCCAATGCACCAGGCATATGTAACAAATGCGTTGCCAATAGTACACTGTACACGTTATCCAATGTTACCTCGAGTCGACCGGTATACATGTAATTTAACAATGGCGCAAATGCTTCTCCTCCTGAAACATTTAACACACGCACATACACATACGCGCGCACACATATACATGCGCGCACAAATACACGTGCGTGCATATATATATATATATATATATATATATTGCTTGGCTCGTAAGAACACACGTATTTCCTTTTATTCATAACATTTAAATATCATTTCGATTCTGAATCGATCACTGACGATAAAATAAATCGAGTGGGATGGGGAGAAAAATATAAACACTTGCTACTTTTGATTCTTCTTTGTCTTCTTCTTCTTCTATGTTTCGATGATTCATAAAAAAACAAAACAAAAATGAAAAACAATTTCAATTACCGATCGAAGATACCGAGACAGATGTAACCGGCTGTCGAGTGTGGTGTTGTCCACCGATCGCAGTTGTAGTTGAGTTACTGGAACTTGCCGAATTCAATCCACCACAAGAGCCACCAAAGTTTGCTCCATTGCTCGAACTAGCTGCCGCACTGGCCAGCAAAGCCTTCAGGTAGCCACTGTGTGCCGCTAGAATGCCCTTGTGTGCAATGAACTGATGTTCACCCTCGTTTCCAACTCTGATCACTGTGTCGGGCGGCGATAGGGTTTCTTGCAAACGATTATAATTATCCGCGGTACTTTCGTCACCGAACCAAGCTCTATACAGGCTGTACATCCTGATCGATTCAAATTAAAAAAAAAAAAAAAAAAAAGGAAGAAAGAAAAAATAAACAAAACGAACAAATAAAAAGTAAAAAAGAAATCAAATGACGATTATGTCGTGTTTGGATCGGATCAGATGATGGACTTTTAACGAAACTATTTAATCAAAGATCCGCTAATTATATCCGAAATAACATTATCCCACATTTTACTTTATTTTCCTTCGACGACATTCCCTGAATTTCACTTCTTAAACGTATATCATTTTAACACCATGTAATCTCGATTTTCTTTGATTATTTTTTCTTAAAATATAAAAAAAGAAAAAGAAAAAAAGAAAAAAAGAAAAAACAAAAATAAAAAAAAGAAGAAGAAAAGAAACAAAAGGAAATTAAAAAGAAAACTTAAGAAAGAAGAAAAAGATTCAAAATAACAATACAAAGTTTGTATTGTTTCGATTCAAAAGTAATAATTATCTTTCCTCAGCGAAAGCTTTTCTTTCGCTGTCGTCAATGAAACGACAAAATCCTTCTTAACAGTTGTTGCCGTTGCGTATACCTCAGATAAAACCTTCCCCCCCTTTTTTCCCGAACTTTCCAGTATTATTAATCAATAATTTTTATATCGATAACACCAATTAACGTGTGACAAAAGAAAAGACACACACCGTATCCGTGAGTAATACGACAAATTAGAGAGAGAGAGAGAAAGAGAGAGAAAGAGAGACAAAGAAAGAGAGAAAAAGAGAAAGAGAGAGAGTGAGAGAGAGAGAGAGAGGGAAAGAGAAAGAGAAAGATTGAGTGAGTTAGTGAATGAGTGAGTGAATGAGTGAAAAAGAGAGAGAGAACACACGTAGCGACGGGGATCACGGTTCTCCGTGATTTGAACGCCAGAGTTGGATGGCAGGACCAACGAACAGTTTCCACCTCCATGAGACCAATCTGGTAACCCTCTCTTCTTCTTCCTACTCCTCCTCTTCGTCCTTCTCATCCTCCTTGTTCTCTATGTCTCCACCTCGTTTGTTATTGTCGTAGTAACGATGAACGGATCTCTCTCTATCTCTCTCTCTTTCTCTCTTTCTCTTTATGTACATGTGGTCCGATTTGCGTTAGCTTTTTCCGTATTAACCCTCCCCGTACTCCTACCCCTATCCTCTAGAAACTTTCATAACTGCGCTGTGGTTCGTCGTAGGAACCAGTCATCGCACGGCGTACCCCAACTCTCTACTACAGAAGATCCGCCCCCGAGAAGTTCAGATTGGATGTTCTCGTCTCTGCCACGGTCATGGTACACCACCGGTGTTGCACGTGCGCCGAAATACTCATTCGTTTCATCCTTGTCTCTCCCTCTCTCTCGCTCTCTCTCTCTCTCTCTCTCTCTCTCGTTCTTTCTTTCTCTATCTCTATCTGTATTTTGCTACCTATCTATACATCTTTCTCTCTTTTTCTCTCTTTCTCTCTTTTACACATACACTTTGCACCCTCTCGCGATCCCTTGAGCCAGGTTTCTTCGATTCGGTTTTTCGTCGAAGGTCGGAATGAGAAAAAGAAACGAAATTTTTAATCAGCTCAAAAAAAAAAAAAAAGAAACAAAAGAAAGAAAGAAAGAAAGAAAGAAAATAACTCTATATAAGTTTCCTGGTGGTTTGTGGAAGACAAAAAGAAAAAAAAGAAAAAAAAATATCAAAAATGCCTCCTTTTAAATACATTTTTTGTCGTACAAAGAAACTGACGTTACGAAAATAACTTTGACTTACTTCTCCTTATCTCTCCTTCGTGTTGTCAGCCATACTTTTCCTTCTTTCTTCCTATTTTTTTTTTTTTTTTTTTTTTACTTTCACTACCATCAAGAAATTATATGTATCTTATGATGTCGATAGTGATTAATTGATGTCGATTGTTATTAACTGGAATATTATTAGTCAAAGTGTTAAAAGATCAACAATTATTTCTTTTGTTTTTTTTTTCTTCTTTCTTTTCCCTTTCAGAAGACAGGAAAGTATACGTATACAGGAATTGTTAAAAAAGGCAAAGAAGTACTTATTAAAACAGCGAGAGACTAGATGAGAAGAAGAGTGTTTTTTGGGTAGCTCAAGTGCAGCCTTTTTTGGGATGCGTCTTTTGCCGCTCTCTCTCTCTCTCTCTCTCTCTCTCTCTCTCTCTCTCTCTCTCTCTCTCTCTCTCTCTCTCTCTCACATCTCCCCTTTGCTCTCTTCTTTCTCTTTTTATCTATCTATCTATCTTTCTACCGAGGTTGGTCTCTGATGTTTTTCATTAAATTAACTCGCGGCACGAGTATTCCTTCTCTTCCTTGGTGTTTGCATAATATCGTTTATAATTCACGTTGCGCTGAATCCCACTTTATTCTGCCTCATACTCCGTAGGTGTAGGTCTCTCTTTTGCTCTTTCTCTCTCTCTCTCTCTCCTGTATCTCTCTCTTTATGTCGATCTCTCTTCCAACCCTCGACTACTACTACTACCCTTCTTCTGCGACGGAGTACTTCGGACTCTTTCCCTCTTTCGATCTCGCTCGTGCCGTTCTTCTTCGTAGTTCAGTAGGAAAGAGAAATTGAGCGGTTCATATAAACATGACTGCTATACTGCTGCTACTATTGGGTAGGTGGGTGGTTGGGTGATAGGTGGTTGGCCACTCGTTGAATGGGGGAGGAAAGAGATGCTTCTCTCTCTCTCTCTCTCTCCTTCCTCTCTCTCTCTCTCTCTCTCTCCTCTCTCTCTCTCTCTCTCTCTCTCTCTCTCTCTCTCTCTCTCTCTCTCTCTCTCTCTCTCTCTCTCTCTCTCTCTCTCTCTCTCTCTCTCTTTTGCCACCAGCCATTGCTCCGCGTTCCTTTGCAAATACCAAGATTTATTTTCATATAGTGCGCGAGGACAGACTTACTCTTTTATAGAACAGTAACCATCACTCTCCTTGCCACTTCTCCTTTCCCTATTTCGTCGATCTCTCCTTTTTTTTCTTTTTTCTTTTTTATACACTTTCTCATTCCTGCTTGACAAATAAATGAATTTTTCTTTTTTTTTTTTTTTCATGAGTATTCACGCGATGATAGATCGTTATTGGATGGATCAGTAAATGAAAATTAAGATATATTTCTCTCTCTTTCTCTCTCTCTGAATTATCTTATAACGCATGGTTAACGATCATAACGATCGACAGGTAGTAGTGTTTTCACGATGTAGATCAATTCTAAAGTCGATCCTTTTTTTTTTTCTTTTTCTAATATAAATTTTACATGAGTTTGTGAACATAGGAAATAATGATGTAGTGATAAGTATCCGCTCATGTATCGTGTAAGATAATTATGTTTTGGATCAGGGATGTAATGTACGATAAAAGAAGAAAAAGAAAAAGAAAATAGATTGCGACTTGTTAGAAAAGATAATTTAATATCGAAAGGAGAACGACGACGACGACGACGACGACGACGACGACGACGACGACGACGACGACGACGACGACGACGACGACGACGATCTTCTTCATGTAAACATTCGTTATATCACCCAAACAGATATATCCAAACGAAAGTTATAAATTCGTCTGATTCTCATGCGTTTAAATGAGTACGTCGTGTCCCTTTGATTTTATTTTATTTAACTAAACAACAACACGGAGGAGAATGAAAGAAAACAAATATCCCTTCTCCTTTTCTCTACTCCTACTCCCTCAGCCATTCGATCCGCGACCCCTACCCCACCCCATCCTAAGCCTCCCCCGACAAAAGGACTACTACTATACTAGTAATAGAGTCCTAAAACGTTCTAATAGGAAAGTCGTCGACAGAAAAGCATGTCCCATTGATTGCCATCAACATGGCTTATAAACAAACGGGAATCGCTAGTCTAGCGAGCGATAGAGAAAGAGAGAGAGAGAGAGAGAGAGAGAAAGAGAAAGAGAGAGAGAGAGAGAGAGAGAGAGAAAGAGAAAGAGAGAGAGAGAGAGAGAGAGAGAGAGAGAGAGAGCGAAGAGTATCATCCTCGTTGCCTGTGAGAGTTTTGAACGGGGATATACAGCGATTACGCACATTTCCCAGGAGGCCAAAGCTTCAAATCGAAGCTAACAGACGCGAAACCCCTCTACCAGTTTCCTTTCTCGCATCGTCGTATTCGCACTCGCTTTACTCCCTATTCCCTCTTCCTCCTTCTCCTCCTCCTCCTCCTCCTCCTCTGTTCTCCTCACCACCCCTTGTCGCAACCACCTTCCCCTACCCCTACTCCCCCTACCCCAATTTCCTTCTCCAGTTTATAAACGCTACTTCAAAACGAATGTACTATTGGGATGATGGAGGGAACATTCCTCTGTCATCGTGATCGTTTCTCATTATTATTTCTTCTTCATCTTTTCATACTTCGTTTACTTCTTCTTCTTCTTCTTCTTCTTCTTCTTCTTCATCTTCTTTCTTTATTTTTCGTTTTATTATTCTTCCTTCTCTTATTCCTTCTCGATCTTTTCAATATTTTATTTCGAACAATTTGATTTTCTTCGATTAAATGCCCTCTCTTTAATATTTATATTATTAATAGAGAACTTAACACGTTAGTTATCGTTATTACTTCTTTTTTTTTTTTTTTTTTTTTTCAAATTTGAAAGATTCAGCGTTTAATATCTCGTATCGTGGTTAACACTTGTGAACGATTTAGGTCCAGAGAGACTAAGAGGAAGAGAGAGAGAAAGAGAAAGAGAGAGAGAGAGGGAGAGAGAGAGAGATGGTTGGAGTGTTGGGTATTGGGTGTTGGGTGAGGGGGTGGGAGCTTCGTAGAAGAAGAAGTAGATGAACAGAAAGAGATAGAGATATGCAGAAATATAGGAGAAATACAGATATATATATATATATAGAGAGAGAGAGAGAGAGAGAGAAATATAGAAAGATCGTGAGTGAGAAGGAGAAAAGAGAGAGAGAGAGAGAGAGAGAGAGAGAGAGAGAGAGAGAGAGAGAGAGAAGCGAAAGAACGCTCTCGACGTCGGTTTAATGCTTCGAGCTCGGTCGAGACAACCTGAGCAAACACTTTCCGCGATATTACCAGGATCGCGCGCGGCCTTCCTTCCTCTCTCAAGAGTTTGCTTCTCTCCCGCGCTTTCACTGCTATCTCAACGTTTCGTACCCCCGTCAACCTCCACCTCACCTTCTTCCTTTATATATATATATATATATTCTTTTTTTTTCCTTCCTCCTTCTCCCTCTCTTTCTACCTTGTATAGATAATAAATACACTTGCTCGTTCATTCCGCGTACGTTATTCATCCGCATTCCGCTCATTGCATAGTTTTTTTTTCTCTCTCTATATTCCGACGATATATTGATATATATAT